TGGTCTTCAAAGAGGTGTTCTATTGGCCTCTGGTTTTCCACTCAGCCCTTTGCCCTTACCTGTCCATCTACCTACAGCAGAATGAGTCCCTTCCCTTCTTTCCTGAATGGCTTGTGCCAACATGGTCTGGAATTCTAGCATCCAGTAGCGATCAGCTAAATATTACTATTACTGCTTAGAATGTGACTTCAGTCCCATGTTACAATATTTTGGACACCTGGGATTAAAAAAAATGTATTATTTAAATTAACCACTTTTTATTTTAATGTGGCTACTATAAGTTAAAAAGTAAGTAGCTCACTTTATAATTCCGTTGGACAGCACTGGTGTAGAAACAGGGTTGTGAAATGGTGAAGAGTGGCAATTGAGATAATTTGACTTGAAGATAAATTCTGGCCTTTTTGTTCTAGGGTCTGGCCGAGTTACTTTCAATAATCAACGTAGTTACCTGAAAGCAGTCAGTGCTGCTTTTGTGGAGATCAAAACCACCAAGTTCACAAAAAAAGTGAGTTGATTTGTGCCCTTACTCTGGGGTGTTTGAGGTGACTTGGGCCAGTAGCTACCAAGAGACCACCAAGGGCCTAGGGAAGTGAGCCTGCTAATAAGAGGTTAGGGTTTAGGGTGGGCCTAGTCTTCATGGGTTCAGGAGGAAGAGAGCTGGGAATGCTGAGTGATGTGGGGCAGCATATCCTTACTGTAGTGTTTGCTTGCATCAGTGAGTTCTTTACTATGCCACCTCACCCAAATTCTCTGAATAGTCACTGTTGCTAACTAACTGATTAGAGTGCTGGGGGGGGGGGTGTTAGTGTGCTGAGATGACCAGGCACTAAGGTATGTGTGGTTGCTTGCTCCTCAAGGAAGCCAGCCTGACTGTGTGGAGTATGAGTAGTATGAGTCTCTTCTCTTGGATTCCTGTTTCTGCCTCTCCCCATAATTATCTTTAGCCTCCTTAAAATATGCAGGTGTCCTGCATTCTGTGTGTGGCCCAGTTGTGTGCTCTTGTCCTGCATCTGGCTGCTGCATTCTCCTCTGTTACTTTTCTGCAGGTTCAGATAGACCCCTACCTAGAAGATTCTCTGTGTCACATCTGCAGTTCTCAGCCTGGCCCCTTCTTCTGTCGAGATCAGGTGAGTTCCTTGGCTACTGGAGAAGTCTGTGAAACCTCCACAGGTTCAAATCCAGGGCCTCACAGGTGCTAGGAGGCGCTGAATTACTGAGCTATGTTCCCTTCATCTTCAGTTAGAAATTCTTAAATCACGTTTATGGCATTGAATATTGGAATACTGAATATTGAATATTTTGAGACAGGGTCTCTGTGTTGTTCAAGCTGACCTTGAACTATGTAGCCCAGGCTGGCCTCATACTTGCAGTGATCCTACTGCCTCAGCCTCCAAAGTGCTGTGCTAGGGTTACAGGCATGTACCACCATACCTGGCCCTGAGTGTCAGAGTTCTGAGGGATGTCTAAGGGCAGAGGAAGAGGCAACAGTCAAGGGACACTACAGTCAGCTTGACCCAGAACTCTTGGGGAAGCTTGTTGAGTCAAATCCTGCTATCTTGACTTTTTTTTCCCTAGGCGGCTGCTGTGCAACGTGGCACTGTGGCTGTGTGATGCAGTCTGCAATAACTGTGAGCCAGGCAGTGCTGCTGTAGCTTTGAGGCCCTCTAGAGGTTTTATTCCCTGCTTTAGGACCCTTTTCAGAGCCTCGGGTTGCTTTGATGATTGTATTCATGCTATACCCTGGCTGTTTTGTGTCTTCATCTTCAGCAGGAGGGATTTGAGCTGCTTTCATAACATCCAGGTGAAGAGCGAAGTTGTATACATTGGTCTGGAGTGCAGGGTGAAAGTTGTCAGAAACGCAGAGAGCAGCATGGCACCTTTCCATGAGACCGGCTTGGTGGGGGAACATGGATAGATATGGGGATGTGGTTGTACTTCTCAAACTCATCACCTGAGGGTCTTGTGAAGTGCACATTCTGATTTGAGTAGCTTTGGGGTGCATAACTGAGAGTCTGTGTTTCTAACAGGTTTCCAAGTGGCATTTATGTGGCTGGCAAGAGCCATACTAGGACAAGTCTGGGGAAAGCCTTGGGCCTCTTAGGACACTAGCAGCTCATCCATGCTTACATGATTGTTCTGCAGTGATGTTGACATGTTTGGAATCTCCAGGTAGACAGTAGTCCTGAGTTGAGTGAGAAGTTGTGAGATAGTTAAGCTTAAAAACAGTATCTTAATCAGCCTCTCCCAGCAAACTGCTGTGGATCAGTATCTTTCACAGGTGACCCACATTTCAGGTTAGTTGCTCAATGGTTAGTGGCTTGAGAGTAGCTAGCTAGCAAGAGGAAGGGCTGGCTGAGAATCAAACTCAGTCATCCTCCCTCTCTTTAGAAGAAGGCATGTTCTCTGGCATTAGAATCTGTAGCCAGTTCTTCAGATATTCTTGCATATTAGCAGCTGTCTGATAAATAACCATTCTCTAGGAGGTGAGAAGGGCAGAGGAATAGAAAAGCAGCTGTAGTGGTGAGAGGGGACCAGGAAGCTGCTCAGGCTCTGTGCACACAGAGCCTAATGGATTCCCATGAGGGCACCCACAAAAATAATACCATAGACTCACAGGGTTGGTCAGGCCTTGGGATGTAAAGGGCTTTGAGTTGCTGTGTCTTCGCATAAGAGCATAGAAGTTCGCATAAGAGCAACCTGCTTGTGCTCCAGCCCCTGTGCCCGTTCACACACTCAGCCATGGCTCTCCCCTTTCTGTCCCTCTGGCCAGGTCTGCTTCAAGTACTTCTGCCGGAGCTGCTGGCACTGGCGGCACAGCATGGAAGGCCTGCGCCATCACAGCCCCTTGATGCGGAACCAGAAGAACCGAGACTCCAGCTAGAGGAGCAGGCAGTGCCCAGTGGCCAGTGGTGCCCAAGGCTGGCAATTCAGGCAGCAGTCTGCACCACCACCCTGCCATTGGCGACCAGGGAGCTGGCTTCCCAAGGACAAGGGAAAATCGTAGTCACCTTTGCACTTGCTGAATCTGTCTTTGTTTCTGCACTAATTAATGCACAATGAGTTTTGTCGGGTTTTGTTTTCAGGGGGCGTGCCAGGGCAAGGACCTTGTGTCCGCTCACCCTCCAAGCAACTCTAGTTTTCCCAGATTTTAGTTCCTCATTTTGCAGATGAAAAGCAAAAAAAAAAAAAAAAAGAAAGAAAAGAAAAAAAAAAAGAACTGTGTCCAGGAGGTATTGACACGGATGCCTACATCTAGGTTTATTTATTAAAGCGCTTTTTTACATTCCTTGCAATACTGATGGTGATGATGTGCAGGTCTCATTGGTTTCATTCTTGCAGTTGCCATACAGTGCCTTTCCATTTATTTAACCCCCACCTGAACGGCATAAACTGAGTGTTCAGCTGGTGTTTTTTACTGTAAACAACAAGGAGACTTTGCTCTTCATTTAAACCAAAATCATATTTCATATTTTACGCTCGAGGGTTTTTACCGGTTCCTTTTTACACTCCTTAAAACAGTTTTTAAGTCGTTTGGAACAATAGATTTTTTTTTCTTTCCTGGCAGCTTTTAACATTATAGCAAATTTGTGTCTGGGGGACTGCTGGTCACTGTTTCTCACAGTTGCAATCAAAGCATTTGCAACCAAGAAAAAAAATTTTTTTTCTGTTTTATTTGAAACTGGACTGGAAAAACGGTGTTTGAGCGGCTGCTCTATATAGTTTTAAACAGTTTATTGCACCTTCTTAAGTTGCACTTATGTGGGTGGGAGGGTTGATAGAAGTTTTTAATCACAAAGTCACAGGACTTTTTTTCTTTTGTAACTGAGCTTAAAAAAAAAGGGCTGCTTTTTTGGTGGGAGCAGATAATGGCTCACAGGAGCCCTGTCTCTTAGAGGGGGCAAGTACCCTTCCTTACATCTTTCATTTGAGGAATGTATGAATCAACAGTTGCAGTTGACTGAAATGCTACTGGAATTTGAAAACTTGACTTTTCTTTCCTTTTGTTTTTTTTAACTACTACTTGCCCCTCTTAGGGAAGCTGTGTGCCAAAGAACCAGTGTCATAACCCCCTCCCTCCTGCTGAGCTGATGTTGCATTGTTGCATATCCCAGCTACTCTGTGGGTTTTGTGAAGCTGTGTGTGAAGTCTCTACCTCATTGTAGTATATGCAGGCAAGACTGCACTCTCCTACAGATGTGTGGAGTAAGCTGTGGTGTAGTTTTTTTGGCACATAATAAACACGTTGCAGCAGAGTTCTTTTGTGTGTGTGTCTTGAGGTGTAGAAGCAAGGGGGCCGTGGGGTGTCAAAATTCCAAAGAAAATACTGGTGCCCTTAGACTTTCTGTGATGGGCTGCCAACACCAGGTGACAGCGGGACCACATGAGAGACCTGGCCAGGAGTACTTGTTGGTCACCCCCATGGCCAAATAGACCTGAGACACCTGGCCTGGCCCACAGATCACAGGCCTCCCATCTAGTTTTCTGAGCCCCTTCCCAGCTCCTGCCAGGGTTGGGACATGGAGAAGTGGGTTTGGCGGGAGAGACGGCCCCTCCTCAGGACGACAGGGGACTGCCTGGGCTGGGAGCTCCCGAAGGGCCTGATGGGGGATGGGTGAGGCGGGCGAGAGAGCGCCTGGCTGCTGGGAGCGCGCAGGGGACCGGACCGTTTATTCCCTGGTGCCGAGAGCTTGCTGTGTCCCTCCAGTGCTGCGGCGGGCGCTAGGGGGACCTGAGCACAGCCGCCTCCCGGAGGGCGGGCCCCGACACTGGAAGGGACGAGAAAGCCGGACGAGCCCGGGCGGCTCGCAGGTCAGGTCTGAGTGACAAGTTGCCCATGGCCGGGAACAGAGGGCCTGGCGGGTGCGTTCCCCACTGTCACAGGCTCACGGCCTCGGACAGGCCGCCTCTCCTCGCCTCCTCCGGGTCTCGTGGCTTCCCCTTGGATCCTGGATGCGCGTGGGCGGGTCGAAGCACCTGGCAGACGCCCTGCCGAGGGTCCCGCCCACTTGGGCGGGCCCAGACCCCTCCCCGCCACCGGCGTTCCCGCCCCAGCTCGCCGGGGGCCGCTGTGGCGCTCGCGGGCTAGGGGCGGCTGGCGGAAGTGCCTCTCTGGCCGGCGCTTTATAGGCCTCGCTTGTGCTTCCTGTTTCCTCTTTCCCAGGGACCCGCCAGCATGGTAGGTGTCTCTGCTCCTGTCCTGTGTGGCCCTCAATCGTCTTCCATCCGCGGCTCCTGGCCCGCGAGGGAAGCTCGAGGCCCCGTGGGCACGGACCCCGGCGAGCTGGGGCGGCTCAGCTCGGCCCGGGGCTGTGCTCTCCCAATCCCCGGCTCGGCCTGGGACTGCCCTCTCCCCTAACTGCAGAGCGGACTCGATGACCCTGTCTGCTCCCCTCGCAGGGCCGAGTTCGCACCAAGACAGTGAAGAAGGCGGCCCGAGTCATCATTGAGAAGTACTACACTCGCCTCGGTAATGACTTCCATACTAACAAGCGCGTGTGCGAGGAGATTGCCATCATCCCCAGCAAGAAGCTCCGCAACAAGATAGCCGGGTGAGTGGGCGGACAGGGGCCGGGGCCCGCGCCCGCGTGCCACTCGCCGGGGCTGCCGTTGGGTTGCCGTCTCTCCGCCGGTGCTACCGGGCCGAGAGGCGGAAGTGCGGTCTCTGGCCCTAAAGCCTAGCTACTCCCTGTTGGGCTTAACATTTATTTTATTGATTTGCCATTGCTCTAAAACTAGCCAAGGGTATGTTGTGGAAGATTAGTAAGTGTACGGTGAGTGCTAAATTATGTCACTTGTGGGCCGGGCGTGGTGGCGCATGCTTGTAATCCATGCACTATGGAGGCCAGCTACACAATGAGTTGAGAAATTGGCCTGGCTACAGAGACCTTGTCAAAGAAGAAACAGACACACAGGAAATTGTGCGCGTTGTATGGAGACTTTGGTAAACTTGAGAGTTTGAGTAATGTTGAGAGAAACCGGAGAGACGGCAAGTAAGGAGAGGTTCTGTGCGTGTGGTCTGTCTTCTGATGGTGACCCTCTCACTTTTTACTGTGAAAAAGAACACTAGTGTCGAAGGAGCCAGATGTTCTAGGTACCAATGGAGTTGATGTATATTCTCTCTGCTTTTCTTTGGGCGTGTGCACCTGTAGCTATGTGACACATCTGATGAAGCGGATTCAGAGAGGCCCAGTACGGGGTATTTCCATCAAGCTGCAGGAGGAGGAGAGAGAAAGGAGAGATAATTATGTCCCTGAGGTAAACTTATTGGTTCTTCGGCTACCAAAAAGGCTTCAGCTGGGCCTTTGCACAAACCGCCCTCGCTGTGGTCCCTACTGTAGTTTGCCTGTTACCGCCTCCTGCCCTTGTTATTCACCTGAGAGCCTCAGTGACATAGGGGCTTTCTTGTTCTGGTTCTGTTACCCGTCCCAACAGTGTTTCTGCAAGTCTAAGCTCAGGCTTAGGCTTCTGAACACTGAGTAGGTAGATAAAAAACCACAACAGCTTCCTGGTCCTAAGGTCACTGTAAATGACCTGCTTTTGCTCATCTCCTGAGAGCATAACCCCCTAGGGGAGAGAGGTAACGGGAAGCCATCCCTGATGGCTAATGTTTGGGTCTTTCTCCTAGGTTTCAGCCTTGGATCAGGAAATCATTGAAGTAGATCCTGACACTAAGGAAATGCTGAAGCTTTTGGTGAGTGTATTCTGGATTTGCTGGTGGTTTTCTCTGTAATGCTAGCAGCTGTCACTGACATCAAGGCCAAGACCATCCTAATGTTAAAGGACATCCCCACATTGCTTTAAAAATGGAACCAGGTAGTTGTTGAAGATTATGTGCACTGAGATACTTAGCTCACAATGAACTTCAAAGTCAGTGTGCTGTTGATAATTTTGAACTGTTGGCATTAAGTTGTTTGAAAAGATAAAGAACAAAATTAACTCTTGTGCATCTGTCATCCAGCTTGAGAAAAACAGTACAGCTAAACCTTGCTATGAATTTTTCCTCTCTGAAATAACTGTCTGTGAATGCAGCTTGTATATTGGTTCGTTGGGGTTTTTTTTTTTGATACCGAGGCAATCTAGAGCTGGTCACGTGCTAGGCAAACACTGAGCTATATGCTTGGTTTCTAAATTTTTGGTTTGAGAGAGGTTTCACTAAGATGGGCCGGAGATTTGGTTTCCCCTCCCTGTGCTGGTCGAATTAGTGACCTCTGAGGCTGATGCTATAGAGGAGGTGGGCCCTGGATCCCAAAGGGGGTTCAGAGACCAATCAGTACCAATACCCTAAATTAGTGGTGGTGAACCTATGGCATGTGGTGACACTTTAAGAAAAAGATGCGAAGGTATGTGTTTTTCTTAGCTAAAACAGTATTTAGGTTTAACTTATTGGCACTTGGGGTGAGTAAGTGGGTTTAGGGTTGCAGTTTGGCACACAGTCTCTAAAAGGTTTGCCATCATCGCCTTAGGTACTCACTGGTAGGTGTGCATAACTTACATCATCCCTGTGCTTTGAGTTTATTTTGTGTCTTGTACAGTATAAATGCTTAGCTATTACAGTATTATTTATAGTAACTGCAGAATACTACATGTAGTACAGCTGCAGTTTTTTCCTGATTTTCCTGAATGTTTCTTGTCCACAGTTGGCTGCATCCATGGCTATGGCATGGTGGGAGTAACTATCCTCAGAGATGAAGGGTTTTCGTGTAGAGAGTATTTGGCAGATGGTTGCAGTTTTTAGTTTTTTGGTTTTTTTTTTTTCCAGACAGGGTCTCACTATGTACTGTGGTCTAGACTTGAGCTTGAAGTGATTTCCTGTCTTAGCCTCCTAAGTGATAGGTTAGGGGCATGTATCAGCATGCCTGGCCTGAATAAAACTTCCAATCTGCAGTGCTCAGACCTGGCATCACATGGGTAAAGGCCAAGGACACTATTGTACTTCCTGTGAGGCACAAGATGCCCCCTGTAACAGCACTCTGGAAGGCCAGGTCAGAACGAGCTCAAGTTTCTAGTCTAGCCTGGGTGACTTGGTGAGATTGTGTCTCAGACTTTAAAGTGTGTTTTTAGGAGGGGGCTGGTGATGTGAAGGCTTCAGGCACTTGGGGTACCATGGAGCCCACTGCAGTGCTAGGCTGGTGGCAGCTGCAGAGCTTGGCCCACACAGCTCACTCTGCATCCTTCTGTTGCAGGACTTCGGCAGCCTCTCCAACCTGCAGGTCACGCAGCCTACTGTCGGGATGAATTTCAAAACGCCACGTGGAGCTGTTTGAATCTCTTTGCTATGCTGTAATGTTGTCAATAAATTTGGGACAATAGCTTTGCCTGTGTTGTTAATGGGGAAAGAAGCCGGAGATGAAGTAGCAGGGACCCATTCAGTGTCCCGGGAGGACTGACTTCAGGGGCCAGGTTGGGCTAGATCCCTCACCCAGAGCAGGTCTGGGCTTGTGTTGTGGATGAGGCCGGCCTTTTGTGGGGGCTCTGAAGGAGAGCCTGGGTATCGGGCCACACCTCCCATCCCCGAGTTTGATGAGTGCAGGGCTGGGCTTTGTGTCTGTGGTACAGCCTGGAGTATTGGGGAATGGGTTGGTGGTTTGGGGCTGGTAGGGTTTTGGTTTTTTGGTTGGTTTTTGTGGGGGGTTTTTTTGGCATCAGGGAATAAAAACTCAAAACACTCTGCTACTTGGCAACATCCCAGCCCCATTTTGGGAGATGAGTGTCTCCTAAATTGCCTAAGCCAGTGATCATCATGCCTTGCTCTCCCCCAGGGGGTTGGGAGTACCAGTGTCCACCATGTGGACCCTCTCCTGGCCTCAAATTTGAGACCCTACCATCACCTTAGTACTGTGCCACCATAGCCAGCTCCAGGAGATCACCTCAGTGGGTTGCTGGCACTGGGCTTGGGACCTCACAAATTTTACAAGTACGTGGCATAATTTTGATAGAATTACAAACAGCAAAATTGTAATGATGAGATTATTCACTTTATGTTTACTGGCTGCTCTGTTTGCCCCAGTTAACTACCATATTCCTGTTCATGCCCCCCGGCGTATAATTTGATTCATTCAGAGCCTAAGTTAAAGATGTGCTGTTGAACCCAGAGAATGTTCTGTTTTGCACAATACAGTCTGAAATTAAATTTAACATGGATGCAATACTACCATTGCATAATTACCCAGAGAATGTCCTCTATAGCTAGTTGTGCCCACATCTGGTTCTCATGTCCCTTACTATGACTGATGTCAAATTTTGAAAATTAATGGGCTGATTGTTTTGTAGAACGTCCTCCAATCCATGCATGTTCAGTGTTTTCTCATAAAAGCTGCACATGATGCTATACACATGTAATCTTGGCTCAGTAGGCCAAGCAAATAGGTCACAGTTTTTTGTTGTTGAGAGTCTCGCTATGCAGTACAGGCTGCCCTTGAACTTGGTTTGATCCACACCTGCCTCAGCCTCCAGAGTGCTGGGGTTATAGGTCTACCACCAAGTCAGGCCTCCAGTTTCCAGCTAGTGTGTGAGCATTTACCCTGAAGGGGCATCCTGTTGGTACAAGGTACATGTTGAAACATGTTCATCATGTTCAGTTCATCTTGTGTTTGGGGTTTACTTTGAACACTGACCAAAGTGCCTTCTCCACTGTAAATTTACTCTTTCATGATTAATAAACCAGGAGGTTTAGTTGGTACCACTGAGGATTGAGCCCAGCACTAAGCTACATCCCCAGCCCTTTCTGAGGCTCGCTCACCAAGTTGCCCAGGCTGGCATCAAACATTAGGTCTTCCTGCATAGATGGGATTATAACCCAGTGGAGATGTTCGGGGGCTAAATATCCTAGCCAGCAGCTTTTTTTCCCCCAAGGGGTTGGCATCCATGGCTACTCCAAGGCTAGGTCTTTGTGTTAGTGTTCTACAGTCCCATTGGTTCACAGCTGGCTTTTGTTTTGATCATGAGAAGGGGGCAGTCTCAGCAATGCTCAGGCAATTGAAATATCTAATTTAGCGAAATTCTGTCACACACAAAAAACACCATTTGGTGCAGATTTTTACACAGGGCAGTGCCTGGATCAGAGGGACGCACTGGAGGACCTTGTATCCTGAAGGCTATAATGTGCCTACAAACTCATCTATGAAAACGACAAAATTTACAGGATTCTTGGAACCCTGCGCTACGGGCACACACTCGTGAACAAAGGGGAAAGTGGGCCAAACACAGACTGAACATTGTGCCTTTGAATCTGGCTCATGGGTTGCCCAGGCAGGAACTGTTTGCTCCTGGCGACCTCATTTTCTCATCAGTGCACCATGCACAGAAGGGAGTGACGAACCGTGTGCCCTCAAAGGACACTGAGCTGAGTTTGGGAGGAGCACATCACATAGCCAGTTCGGGAGCGGGACAGGCGATTCGGGGAGGTTTCACTTGGTAGGTACTCAAGTCACCAGAGCCTGGTGTGGCACAGCCCTATGAACTTAGGAGGCTGAGGCAGGAGGATCAAGGCAAATTCAAGGCCAAGCTTGAGTACATCATGAGATCCTGTCTCAACAGCAAAAACAAACCCAAAGAACTCTTAATGCCAATTGTGAAGAGACTGATAATCAGCTCCGTGAACAGTGCAGAACAGCTTTGGGGAAGAACATTGTTAGGAGAACAAATTACTAACCCATTTACCTGGGATGGGGGTCAAGTGAGTGGAGTTTACAACTGACTGTGAAAATACATGTGAACTAAAAAGGCTCACCTGGAGGAGTTGCAGGGTGCTTCACACCTACAGCTATGTATTATATTGTTCACCATCAGGTATTTCAGAGAAAATGTATCTACCAGGGCTGGGGATTTAGCTCAGCGGCATAAGCGTCTGCCTTGCAAGCAGGCAGTCGTGAGTTCGATCTCCGGTACCAATAAAAAAAAAAGAAAGAAAGAAAATGTATCTACTATGTGTTATGTGTGTGGCACTGGGACTTGAAACCAGGGCTTTGGCACTGTGCTGCATCCATTTCCCTTTCTGGTTTTTTATTTTGAGATGGATTCTCACTAAGTTGCCCAGGATGGGCTCAAACTTGCCATCCTCCTGCCTCAGCTTCCCGGAGTGCTGGGCTAACAGACATATGCTGCTGCGCTGGCTTCTTTATTCTGAAGAAAAGTCTCAGTAGATTGCCCAAGCTGAGCTCGAGCTTGCAGTCCCTCTGCCTGTGGCTTCCAAGTAGCTGGGTTGTGTGTATTACTGGACACTGAACTTCATTCATTCTTATAAACCTGACCATCATTAAATCTAGAATTGTGGTGAGGCTTTTAAAGATTGTAATATACATACTGTATCATTTTAACCATTGTAAGTGACAGTAAATACATCCATTGTATTGTGTAACTATCACCGTACTCATTTACAGTCATGTTCCAGAAGAACCGCAACCCCTTATATGACAGCCCCAGAAATCCTCTTCCCTCAGCCACAGGGAGTTGCATTCGGCTTTCTCTCTGTGAATCTGCTCAATGCTGCTACCTCCTAAGTGGGAGTGTACAGTATTTGTCCTGTGCATGGCTTCTTTCACTAAGCAGTTTTTTAAGGCCCATCCATTTCGTAGCGTATGTCAGAAATGCACATTTCAGGGCATGGTGGCACGCGCCTGTGACCCCAGCATTTGGGAAGCCGAGGCAGGAGGACAGCTGAAAGATGAAGGCTGGCTTGATACACAGTGAGACCCAGTCTCAGAACAATAAAAACAAAAAATAAATTTCTTCTGTAAGACCCCATTAAACATATATTTTGTTTCTCCATTCACCTGATCATGGACCTTTGTGTTGCTTGTACAAATCCCCGTTTGAGTCACTGCTTTCAGGCTTGAGGACGTACAGCGAACATGGAACTGCTGGGCCATGCGCCATCTCTCTCCTTGAGGAAAGGCCGTGCTGTCTTCAAGCAGCTTCGTGTTTGATCTTTCAAGCAGTGTAAGTCCTCTATTACTCAACCTCAATGTTCGTTAATTTGTTCTTCAAAGAACCAACTTTTGGTTCATTAGGTTTTCTCTTTAAAATTGTTTGCTTTTTGTGGTACTGGGGATTGAACCGATGGCCTTTGTACTGAACTACGCCTCCAACCTTTTTTAGTTCTTATTTTGAGATAGGGTCTGGTGCAGGACAGACTCACACTTGCAGCCCTCTTGCTTCAGCCTCCCAGGGTGCTGGTCTCACCCCACCATCCCAGGTTCACTTCTTTTCAGATATGTAATTTCCAGCTATACATTCTAAATATTTTCATAGATTCCAATCTGCTATATTTTGACTTTCATTCACCTGAAAATTTTTATAATTTCCTGTGAGACTTACTCTTTGATTTACTGGTGATTTAGGGTTGCCCTGGTTAATTTCCATGTATTTGTGTATTTCCAAGTTTTCTTTTTCTTTTTTCTTTTTTACTACCCAGGTTTGCAGTACATAACAATTACATTGGTCATGGGGAGTTGGTACCTATAGATAACACATTTTAATTCTCTTCCCCTAAGTTTTCTTTTGTTACTTTTGTTTTGTTTTGTTACTTTTAATTTCATTCTGGTTTGGCATGTTCATTCTTTAAAACAGTTAAGAACTGGTGGTCCAATGGATGGTCTGTACTGGGGAATTTTCCACATATACAACAAGACTATGTCAACTTCTGGTGTTGGATTCAGTGTTCACTGAATGTCCTTTAAGTGTAGTTGGCTTATACTGTTTTGTCAAATTCCATATAATTATGATTATTTTGCACTGCCGGGGGTCAAGCTTTCTTCACTCATGCTAGGCAAGCATTTAACCACTATTTCCTTCTCGATCGTCAATCTATTCTGTTCATAATCAGAGGTATCAGAGCTAGAGATGTAAAAACAGTGGTATGACACTTTCCTAGAGTACTCAGGCCCTGGGTTTGGCCCCCTGAACACCACACACCACACAAGATTCCAATAGTTACTGTAAAATTGTCTAATTCTCCCTTTAATTCTGTGAGTTTTTCCCATGGTACTGTTTTTAGGGACACATTACAGAAGTATAATTGTTACATCTTTCTGATTGATTGACACTTTTATCAGTACCAAATGTGCTTTGTCCCTGATAACACTGTTTTTTGTTTGTCTTGGTTTGGTTTGGTTTTTTTGAAGTGAGGTCTTGCCATGTTGCCCAGCCTGGCCTCAAACTCCTGGGCTCAAACGATCCTCCTGCGTCTGCCTCCTGAGTAGCTTGGGCTTACAGTCACATACACTGTGCCTGGCATCACAACTTTTGTATTGAGCTCATGCTTTAATACCAGTTTATCTACTTCTTTCAGTTACTACTTCAATGGTATCTG